GTCTCTGCGACGAGGTCCTTCTCGGTGGCAAAGAGGAGGAGGTTGCCGCTTTGAGAGTGGACCTTGCGAAGCTGGAGGCGGAGAGGGCAGTGTTGGAAAAAAAGCTTGAGGAAATCGAGCGGTCTATCTTGGTTGAGCATAAGAGGGGTTTCCTCAAGGCAGCTTGCCAGGCGAGGCTACTTGCCCCGGGGTTCGACTTCTCCACCATGCATGTGGAGAAAGTGGTCCGCTTTGGGAATAGGTCGACAATCGAGTTAGCCAAAAATCCAATCAATCCCGAAAGAAGTAAGCACATCGACGTCCGATTTCATTTCATTAGGGAGAAGGTGAAAGAAGGAAGCGTGGAGCTCGAACACGTAGGAAGTAAAGAGCAAGTAGCTGATATTTTCACAAAACCATTGCCTGCAACAACATTTCAAGAGTTAAGGAAGTTACTCGGAATGAAAGAAGAAGGAGAAATTTAAGCTTATGGGGGAGTTTTGTTAGATAATCTTAAATTTTAGAGATATCCGAGTTAGTTTATCTGTTTTGTTTGTTTCATTTTAGATAAGATAGTTTTTTATAAGATCTGTTTTGATAACTATTTAAAGGTCATCTCTTATTCAATGAAAACACAGTGAGTTGCTACATTCACACAATTTTTAGTATTACTCGTCTCTTATTTTTCTACAATTTTGTCTTGTCTGCCCGACCACTCGTACATTCCCGCTGCCAAACATTAATTACGCAGCAAACTTTTGCAATAAGACATCATACAATGTCCTAGTTTCATTGCCCTTGTCTGCTGGGCAACTCGTTCAATTACGTTCATTAAATAATGAATCGTGGCCATACTGGAGTCCACAAGTTAAATGTACGTACTATCTTCAAATTAATTAACCATATAATGCAATAGTTCCACTTTAATTTTCTGGCTATATATACGCATTGGTGTGATCTCTAGAACTATCCGCGGGAAACATAATATAAACACATGCACAGGTCAGGAATCGTCAGCAATGAAAAAAAAAGAGACGCAGATTGATAATATTGAAGAGAATGATGGCAACTGCAATACGAACCTTGCTATCACCAAGTGCACAGGCGAAACACAAGCAAATTTGGCTTCACTTATTACTCAATACGTGGAGACACTAAATCAGTGCAGCTTCCGCCACTTGGGTACACTTTCGCTGCTTCTCTTCTTTCCAATGTATGTTTACTTTTTATTGGTTTGATTTCATGCAAAAACACTTTATTTGGTGTAACCCCAAATGAGATACTCATTTCATCGTTATATTATTATACGAACTACTGCAGGCTACCCCACTAATCAGGATTTAAACTATGACGTATTATTACCGTTGCTTAATTTTCATTTGAACAATGCCGGTGATCCATTTCTAGGGAGTAGTTTCTCCCTAAATTCAACAGCATTTGAAGTTTGCGTGCTTGATTGGTTTGCAAATCTGTGGGAGATAGAGAAGAATGAGTATTGGGGATACGTCACAACTGGTGGAACTGAAGGCAACCTTCACGGGATTTTAGTAGGGTTAGTTACTTAGTTTTATTCAACAACTTCATTTAATTTCTTTTTGATATTTTAAAAAAAATATATACATTGCAAATACAAACATTGATTTATATCTTTATTATACACAGGAGAGAACAACTTCCTGATGGGATATTATATACCTCTCAAGATTCGCATTATTCAATATTCAAAATAGCAAGAATGTATCGAATGCAATGTGTGAAGGTTAGAACATTAGTCTCGGGTGAGATTGATTGTGTTGATCTAAAGGCTTTACTTGTTGCACACAAGGACAAACCAGCCATCATCAATTTAAACATAGGTCTCTTCTTGTCTTTGACTAGTACTCTATGTAGTACACGTTACTGTTAATAATTAACAACCACATTCATGCACACACCTTTTTACAAATGTAGACACATAATTAGAAAGGTTTAATTGGTATATTTATGCAGGGACAACTATGAAAGGAGCTGTAGATGATGTTGAACTTGTAATACAAACGCTTGAGGGATGTGGTTTCACTCGCGACCGGTTCTATGTTCACTGTGATGCAGCTCTTTTTGGAATGATGTTGCCTTTTCTCAAAGGAGTGAGTTTATGTTATAACATTAATTAATAAAATCATTAATTTGATGTTTGCTTAGGGATTAATGGAGATGCTAAGGTCGGACGTGTGAAGATCAAACCATTCAAATTGATAAATTAAATTTGAATTATGAAAAAAAATTTCACCATCCTTACCTCAATTACAATCTACAACAAAAAAAAGAGCCAAGAAAAAAGCTGTTGTTCTTTTTTTTTTACTTGGTGTGGATTTAGGTGGCAATTAAGATATACGAGGGATAAAGGGCACGTTTTAAATTCATGAGGTGGGATGTATACATGCAACAAGGTAGGGTATAAAGGAGTAGGTCGATGAAAACCTAGATGAGTTTTTGGTAAATCAGTACAAAGACTTATAAAGAGTACCGGAAAAAGTATGATACATTAGTTTTTGATGAAAATTTATTATTCTCAACAAGGGTAGAAAATAAGTTTATTTTTATATACAAACAAAATAAACAAAACACACAGGTAGAGGACACATGCATGTATAGGAGAGTAGGGACACTTCTTAATACTAAAAAAGACATTTTATATTTCTACTTGAATACGTATTTAGTTTGATAGTATGTACATTTTGTTATTCAAAAGCAATTTTAAGAATAAAACTTATACATTAAAAGATTTTTGTGACCTTGATTATTTATTATTATGTAATTTTTTATTTTTATTTAAAAAGTTAAAATTGTCAAAATAATGTGTATACAAAAATACATATAATTCTCTTTGAAAAATATTTAGTTTTTTTTCTTTCTTAAAAAATCATATTAATTTCAATCAATTAAAATTTTTCAATTAATGGACTAAACCATTTATATATATATATATA